GGACATTCAAAAAAACAAAAAGCAAAACAAAAAAATATATAGAAAAGTTTCGTCTTTCATCCGAAAGACTTCTTCGGTCGGAGGTGCTGTATTCAGCTCAGTCTTATAAATAGCACCTTCTCATAGTGGATCAACCAGGTTTTTTTGTTTGTTTGTTTGTTGTTGGTTTTTTTTTGGGGGGGGGGGGATGTCCAGAGGACCAGACTTAACTTTTTTAGATTTTTCTACCTGGATTATTGAGCATGCATCAGGATACATAGAAATAGTATTTTTTTGAGTTCAGCTCATGAAAATGGGAGCAAAAACACGTGTTGCGTTTATATTTTTGTTCAGTGTACAGTATTTCCCAAATTAAAATAATTCAAAAAGATGGTAAAGAAAGAAAAAAATGTGGTTTACTTGACTGTGAGATTGTTTATTATTTTTGTCTCTTGTTAATATTCCTACCTTCTATGATCATGTGTGGTATTCTTACATCTATTATTTTATCTTATATCTTTATTCTTGTGTGGTTTATTGAAAAGTAAATCTTACTTCTTGTTTTACATTGCAACAGTAATACCCATTGTGTTTTAGGTTTATTTACTTCCTGTTTCTATGTCACACCAAGTTTCTGTTTGTAATCTGCTCAGCTGTTTGTATTTCCCAGTACCTTCATCAGTATATTTACTTCTAAGGTTTCAGCTGCTCTTTGATAGGTCCTTGTGTTATCTTTGCTTCACTTCTGCTTCCTGTGATCCTTCTTGTTTTACTTTAGTTTCTTTTTGTTGGAGTTTATTTATTTTTCCCCTTTGTTCACCCTGCATCTTTTGTTTGATTTAGTATTAAAGAATTGGTTTCACTGACAGCTGCCAGCCTCTGCTCTTTGGTCCTCTGTTCTTCACTTGCCCTGGTCATGTGACACACTGAACATGAATGCTAAAATAAACCATCTTTATTAATGTAACACCATGTTAATTCATCTGCAATAACGTCTGCAAACTTATGAGCTTTGAAGGTCAAAAATATTCTGCTTTCTCCTTTTTTGTTGTAGTTTATCTGTCAATTTAAAAAATGTGTTTTGAATACTGAACAGTGGCAACCCCTTCTAAATCAAAAATAAATCCTGGGATTTCTGACCATGTCAGAGTCAGAGTCAGAGTCAAGAGTTTCTTTATTGTCATTCGCACCTCATGTGGTACATGTGGTGGAGCGAAATTATGTACACAGGGTCCCAGTTACATCCAACAATAAAATGTATAAGAAAAACAGTAATAACATCTAAGATATGAACTAAGAAAAACATCAACTAAATATACACTAAGCACTCATAACATAAAACATTGAACATCAGCACAAACATGAACATGAGTCTGTGAGCAGATGTGCACGCATGAACACATCAACATTGAAACAGATAAGCAGCAACATGAAACAGATCAGCAGCAACATGATATGGTTTTTCACAGTGATTATCCTGGTTAGAGATTCATGAGTCTAACAGCTTCATGGTAGAAGCTGTTCCTCAGTCTAGTGGTTCCACACTTAATGCTCCTTAACCTCCTTCCTGAGGGGAGTGGGGCAAAAAGTGTGTGTGCTGGGTGAGTGGGGTCCCTCATGATGCAGGTGGCCCTCTTCCTGCATCTGGAGGTGTAGATGTCTGTGATGGTGGGGAGGCTGATTCCAACAGACTTCTGTGCAGCCTTCACCATGTGTTTCAGTATGTTGTAATGAAAGTGTTTCTCCAAATGCAATAAGCAAAAGCCCATGCTGTCTTGTGAATTTATTGGGTTATGTTCCCAAGATAAAAAAAATAAGCTATAATTAAAATAAACAGTATGAATAAATCTGAAGTACTGAGAATGAGATCTGATAGTCAAAGTTTTGTGGATTTCTGTTTGTATGAGCCTGCATGTCGTTCAATTTATGAGAAAGTTTTGGTTTAAACTCAGCTTTTTAAATATTTTTGTTTTATTACAATTATAATTTTTTTGCCCATATCATTTTATTTAGCTTTAAGAAGCTGTTTCAAGGGTGGCATGATAGCACAGTTGGTAGAGCTATTACCTCTCAGTGAAAAGGTTTCCAGTTCGCCTCCTGGCCTTAATGGGAGGAGTTTGCATGTTCTCTCAATGCATGCACGGATTTTCTCGGGGCATTCCCATTTCCCTCCACAGACCATAAACATGCATGTTAGGCTTTCTTCTGGAAAGGAAGAAGCAGGTAAACATAATGGATGGAGCCCTTTTAAGAACATAATGTAAGAGCAAAACAAATAAATGTTTGCGCATACTTATATTACAAACTCAGCAATGGAAACAAACATGACTTTTGATGCACACATCTATATGTGTCCTGATGCATCCTCAATAATCCAGGCAGAAAATCCAACAAAAACTATACTATTTATATTATAAACCGGATTCCAAAAAAGTTGGGACACTAAACAAATTGTGAATAAAAACTGAATGCAATGATGTGGAGATGGCATATGTCAATATTTTATTCGTAATATAACATAGACAGATCAAAAGTTTAATCTGAGTAAATGTAACATTTTAAAGGAAAAATATGTTGATTCAAAATTTCACAGTGTCAACAAATCCCAAAAAAGTTGGGACAAGTAGCAATAAGTGGCTGGAAAAAGGAAATTGAGCATATAACGAACAGCTGGAAGACCAATTAACATTAATTAGGTCAATTGACAACATGATTGGGTATAAAAAGAGCTTCTCAGAGTGTCAGTGTCTCTCAGAAGCCAAGATGGTAAGAGGATCACCAATTCCACCATTGTTGAGCAGGAAGATAGTGCAACAATACCAGAATGGTGTTACCCAGCATAAAATAGCAAAGACTTTTAAGTTATCATCATCAACTGTGCATAATATCATCAAAAGATTCAGAGAATCTGGAACAATCGTTGTGCGTAAGGGTCAAGGCTGTAAGACTCTACTGGATGCTTGTGATCTCCAGGCCCTTAAACGTCACTGCACCTCAAACAGGAATGCCACTGTCAAGGAAATAACAGAATGGGCTCAGGAATACTTCCAGAAAGCATTGTCAGTGAACACAATCCACCGTGCCATCCGCCGTTGCCAGCTGAAACTCTACAGTGCAAAGAGGAAGCCATTTCTAAGCAAGCTCCACAAGCTCAGACGTTTGCACTGGGCCAGGGGTCATTTAAAATGGAGTGTGGCAAAATGGAAGACTGTTCTGTGGTCAGATGAGTCACGATTTGAAGTTCTTTATGGAACACTGGGACGCCATGTCATCCGGACCAGAGAGGACAAGGATAGCCCAAGTTGTTATCAACGCTCCGTTCAGAAGCCTGCATCACTGATGGTATGGGTTTGCATGAGCGCTTGTGGCATGGGCAGCTTGCATGTCTGGAAAGGCACCATTAATGCAGAGAACTATGTTCAGGTTCTAGAACAACATATGCTCCCATCTAGACGTCATCTCTTTCAGGGAAGACCCTGCATTTTTCAACACGATAATGCCAGACCACATTCTGCAGCAATCACAACATCAAGGCTACGTAGGAGAAGGATCCGGGTACTGAAATGGCCAGCCTGCAGTCCAGATCTTTCACCTATAGAGAACATTTGGTGCATCATAAAGAGGAAGGTGCAACAAAGAAGGCCCAAGACGATTGAACAGCTAGAGGCCTGTATTAGACATGAATGGGAGAGCATTCGTATTTCTAAACTTGAGAAACTGGTCTCCTCTGTCCCCAGACGTCTGTTGAGTGTTGTAAGAAGAAGGGGGGATGCCACACAGTGGTAAAAATGGACTTGTCCCAACTTTTTTGGGATTTGTTGATGTCATGAAATTTGGTAACAACATATTTTTCCCTTAAAATTATACATTCTCTCAGTTTAAACTTTTGATCTGTGATTTGTGTTCTATTCTGAATAAAATATTAGATGTTGGCACCTCCACATCATTGCATTCAGTTTTTATTCACAATTTGTTTGGTGTCCCAACTTTTTTGGAATCCGGTTTGTATATCTTATATTAAATGAGTTGTGATGAGGCCAATACAAAACACACACTTATCAACTTGCATGTTACTGCAACACATTGTTTTGTTTTTAACCATTTTGAGTTTTTATTATCAATGCAGTGTCCTGATATGTCACTCTTTAGAAAAAAAATAACTGAATGTACAGCATTTTCTACGAGTGTCAAAATAAACTAACAAAAAAAAACTGATGTAATTTCATAATGTGGTATGCTTTTAGGTAAATTCAAAAAGCAAAAAATATAAATAAATAAATAAATATCAATCATATTTACTGTCACCATTTAGACTTTGCTTTTTCTAAACAGAGGCTGTGTCACCATTATTACACACACAGCCAGTACACTGCATGCGGCGCATAATGTGCTAAAAACCATTGTGCTGGACTTGAACTAGAATTCCCTCATTTGAGTGGTGGCAGCTGGTCTGAGAGGCAGGGAGACAACAAGGACTCGTCTGTGACCTGGTTTGAATTGGAGAGCGCTAATTAGAATGGTGACTACTGGATGTTAGAGCTGCACAGAGCAAGGAGCAAGGTAGACGCACAAGAACAACGCAAAAACATTCAAGACACAAAAGAAAGGTGACGCAATTAAGAGTTCTTTAAAAAGCAATCAAAGCAAACCCATCTAGGTTGAGAAACATGAAGATGGTGTTTTTTTTACTGTATAAGTAAAACGCATCTGCAAAAGGAAGGTAAAACAAAAACAAACTGACAAGGGAGGTCAGACTTTTGTCCAGGTTATAATCAAAAGCACATGGATAATTGACGAGAGGTAACCAGAGGGAAGGAGAAGAAGCAATAAACTGTTTCCTACTAAATGAGCTGTCGTTTTGGTAATTATTATCAGTGTGAAAATAAATCACATTATCTGTGCAAAGAGATGAAAACAAAGGAAAAACAGTATGATTAGCATAAAAAATGTTTTTATTAGTAGTCTTCAAAATACTTTTAACAAGATGAGCATCGTATACAGTATAAAAACGTGTGTTTTTTTTTTTTTTTGTGAGTGCATAGTATTAACTTTTGTTTCAATAAACCACTGCCAAATGAATTCCTTGAATAGAAGCCTAATGTTTTTAACTGAGTGCAAACTGAAAAGGGTCTAGCCTGGACTAAGATTTTGGATGTTCTCACGATGTTCTTGGTAGAGAGAGTGAAAGGCTCTGGCCAAACTGAGGAGCGGTGCATCACAGTTTTCCATCTCTTTCTGAAAAATACAACAAGAAAACACAATCAGTTATTACTGCAAAGAAATGTCACTGCTGCGTTAACTTTTGTATTAGAGGATACTGATACACAGGAAAAGGTATCATAATGTAGTTTTAATAGTCACTAAGGGTTCACCAATAAAATGTGGGAACTATTAAAATTCATCATATGAGCACAAAGTATGTTTTCTGCTACACTCACAGCTGATGTCTCATGATATTCCAGTCCCTGGCTCTGAGCCCATTCTTGGGCCACAGATGTCTGTACTTCTCTTCTAGCAGACAGATCTGACTTGTTACCTACAAGCACACCTAGAAAGCAAACACATGCACGTGGCAACCTGAACACAAATGTCAAAAAACATAAAATACATTGTTTTCATCTCAACATACAACTCTGTTTTTCAGACTTGGTGTCATGTCAGCTACTGAAATATCTGAACAGCTCCACAGTGGAGACGTGTTGCACAGGAAGCAGAGTACAGCAGATAAAAGTAATTTCTGTAGAAATTAGATGATAATCTGAAAAAGCAACAGGAAAAATCTGACAATTTAAAACACGAGTGATGAAGGAAACAGAAACACAAAACCTGTCTAACCTTGCAGAACCAACTTCAGTGTCAAGAGGTATATTGTCTGCTTGAAGAGTTTTTCATTTTCCAAGCATCTACCAAACCCATTTTATTCAGCATTTTAGACAGAAGAAGTGATGATCAAAGATGGGTCTTCTCCAGTCCTATTTAACTTAGGTCGTTTTCACACTAGATAGTCCGGTAGACTCGGTTCAGTTAGGGACCAATATTCATGACCTTTTGTTTACATTTGAGCTGGTGAGTTTGCATTCACACTGCACTGTGCAGTGGAGTCAACCTGTTGAACCGACCTAGTCGCCCGCTCGCCTGTGGGGGCTGTAGTGAACTTGACCTGATGTCAAAACTAAGCCTAAGGTCAAAACCCTTGACCTTAAGAACCTTGTGGGACAGAAACTGTCATTTCATTGATTTGAATCCAGAAATACAGGTTCACCCATCCTGAGACTTTCTTTCTTGAAAATTCAAGTGAAAGAACACTCTCTTTTCTATTATCATTACATGTTTTACAAATGTTTGATAATCAAAGTGTTTTAGTTCAAACATTTTAGATGTTACAGTGAACTAATCAATTTTATTAACTGTAAAACAGTAACAATGATTTTTTTAGTTGCTTATGCAAAGTAGAATTCATGTTAAGGCCTGTTACAGAGTAATTATGCATTTTCTGATTTCTGTCTTTGAATGAGCAGTGTACGTTTTCCAAGGCCAGGAGTTGAAGCAGACAAGTGTTGGAACAACTGTCTTGTTTTTAAATCCTCTCAGACGTAAACAGAGAAGTTGGCACCTGTTTCTCCAAACTCGCCCAAACATTTCTCTCGCCTGTCTGGGGAACATTTTCAATCTGTTCCAATAACATTCTTGTTGGTTTCTGACTTTCCATAACACCTTACATCACAAAACACACCCCTGTCTGGTTGATATTGACCAATCAGAAACTCTCAAATGAACCGGGAATAGAGCCCTTTAAAATGTCGGTACTTCCTAGTTCTCCCAGTTCTGTGAAGCCGAGTGCTCAGATGATCGCAGTGCTGTGAGGTGGCTGTTCTGTGAGTTGCTGTTGGGTCGCAGTTGCCGTTGGAGTCGGGCTGGAGAGTTTGCAGCTCCAGTCGTTTGGGAGAACAGAAGTCCAGCCATGATAAGGCTCTTCCGAGTTTGGATTATAACATCTTCCACCTCTGAGTGGAACTTCTGAAGAACCCCACTCATGTAAAGTCCACCCGGTGAGGTGAACTGTTGTTGACGAAGTCCCGTCACCACTCCGGATGTATCTCTGCCATCCTACGGAGACGCTGAAAGGTAGCGTTAACTGGAGCTCCTCTTCTTCTGATTCATCGTCAGAGAGGTAAATGAGTCTAGTCCACTACTGAGCGTACCGAGGAAAGCTGGGTCGGATGGAGGGTGTCGTCCTGTCAACACTTTTCACTCATACACACCACATTCTCCCTCATCCATCTTTCACTCCCACTAAACTTCATCTTTCCATCTTTAAAAATTCTTCTATCAAGTAGAAATCATTCCAGATATTTTAGAAATGTCTGTGTAAAGTGCCCATCCACCGCCGTGTGGATTGATGTCTGCTGTTCTGCTGAAAAGTGAAACAATCGCCGTATTGTTACTCACTACCTGTAAAGCTGATTAATTATGTTGTTATTTTTCAATTTGCCAAATTAATGTAAATGTTTGATGTTAAACTTTGATTCTGTAAATAAATGACCACATTCATTTTGATGGGTCAAAGATAAATAACGTCTCACGTTACATTTTATTAAGTTCAATGCACGTATGTTATACAGTCCAGAAAAATGAAGAACCCGTTTAATGTATGAATATATCTCAGGATATGTCATACTACAGGGCGCTGCACCAAGAACTACTGAAAGAAACGACACAAAAACCTCTGAAGACACGTCTTCTTCTTCTTCTGTAAATAAAAATAAAAATGAAGTGGCATCAAGTTTTAGCAGTTTTAGGAGTTATATTTTGTCATTTTTCATAAATGGACTTAGCATGAGCAGAAGATGAGACAGAAGACCATGGAGAATATTGTTGTTCCACACAAGGCAGCTTACGGCTCCATATAAGGTAAGAGCAATGCGTGTTTGTTTACCCTGAGGAGCGGGGTCCGGTCTGTTTACATTCACACTGCACTCGAACCGCGCTGGAGTTCGATTCTACCGGACCGAGACCTAGGTTTTAGCCCGGGCCAGAGTTCGCCTTTTTGTTCCGTGACAGACTTCGATGGCGCGTTCACACCTCCCTAAACGAACTGGACTTTCAAGGAAAACGAGCTAGAGTTCGATTAAAGTGGACTAAACGGGGCTAGTGTGAATGCACCCTTAAAGTCAGTGCAGCAATCCTATTCACCAAATTCCAATCACCACCTAAAATAATAGTTTCCCCACAATCAATGCTTTTTAATTTTTTTATCCAAAGTCTTAAAAACAGCCTACTTCTGAGATTCTAACAGGAGGCTGGCTTGAAGCACAGCAGTGAAGGCGACCTATGGGACAGATCTGGTTGGCAGGCCACAGACTGAGGAAGTCCTCTGGATGGGGATGAATCGTTTCTCACTTAAAGAAACTGGTGCAGATGACACGATTTAACCTTTTTTGCTGTGATCTACATGGATGATTGAGCTTACAACCCTTTTGCCACTTTGGCCTTGATTGTCCTCAGGCAGTTTCTGTGAGTAGCAAGTTGTCCATCTGGTCTAAAATGTTTTGATTGTTGTACATGATAACTGACTGTTTTGGATGGGTGTGTTTTGCACGTGTTAAAAGTAAGGATGCACAATCCACTTTTTCCACTTCCGATACCGATATATGAGGGTTTGTATCGGCCGATACCGATCTGATACAGAAAAACAGTGCCGAATTCCGTTCAACAAACTCAGCGTGCTCTTTCAGGTGAAATCTCTGGAGATGCTTGATTAAGTTGGTAGTGTTATAACTGGAAGTTTTAGTGACACCCCCTGGAACCGTTGCTGTGCACGTATTGCACGCAGCTGTCGAATGTGTTGGCTGAGGTAGTGTGAAATAGTTCCAGATGGCTGATCCTTTCGCTCGCTCCATTTTGAAAACAATCTGTGGGGTGAGTTCGCTAGCGCATGACGTCACTCAGAACACAAAGCATAGAATTAGAGTGAATAGATCTGCCCAGCCATGGATCGGTCACATTGTCACCGATACCCGATCCAGAAGCTTTTTCGATATTGGGAATGATACAGATATTGGTATCGGATCGGTGCATCTCTAGTTAAAAGCCTACTTTTGAGATTCCAACAGGAGGTTGGTTTGAGACACAGCAGACAGATCTGGTTGGCAAACCGTAGTCCTCTGGATGGGGGACAAAACTTTTCTCACTTAAAAAAAATGGTCAAGATGACACGATTTAACCTTTTTTATTCTTAAAAACACCTTCCCTTTCTAAGCCCTGGTTGGGAGCATAAATAATAATGACATGAAAAACCTTCAGTTTGAGTTTTCATCTATAAAAACTTGCCCTTCACAATCGCTGTACTTGAGATAACATGTATGTTTATCTCTGAAGAAAAAACTATGGCAACCCTGCACTAGAATTTGTCCTATGACTGAGGACATATTGCACCCCCCCCCCCCCCACCTACCACCACCACCTACACCATAAACCCCAGTCTATTTCATTTACATTAACACCGTTTCTTGCAAAAAAAATACTACATCCAACGTTTTTTGTTTAATATTTTCAGATGTAAAAGTTCTATTATGTGCATCTCTTCCCCCATTTAAGTTTAGAGAGGCCACCCTTAAACTCTTTGTGTCAGGAGAGATAAGGAGCAGACAAAAAAATACCAAAGTTAGAAGATGGCAGTTATCTTGAGAGGTTAATTTTCTTTGTCACTTGTGATCGAGATGCTCTTAAATTTGTCCTCAGTGATGTGACATGATTTTTAAGGTGGTAACTTCTTTTTTTTTTAATCTAATAAGTCTAAGTTTACAGATTTCTGAAGCATAAAGACAGTCTTAATAAATTTGAGGAAAATATTATTTGATGTCAAATGACTGACCATAAGTGTCATCCAGTAACTCATTAATCTCTTCCAGAGAGCGTTGGTTCTCAGTGCTAGAAACACTGCCAGCCACAGAGATACAGCCAGAATCAGTTTCATAGCCATCCATTCAGCAATGTTATCAGTCTGATCATCAGACCTTGTCATCTGCACCTCCATCTCCACACTGCTCAGCTTAGAAACCTCATCTTGTTCAGACGGCTCAGCATTCTTATTATTGCCCCCTTGCTTTAAGAAAAGGTTCAAGAACAACATTTAAGACTGCACAATTGGTGGCAGCATTACATGTTGATCTACCAGCTACCTCAGACACACCCTCTACACTCACCATTTCAGCTGTGGAGACATTAAAGACTGGAGCTACTGAGCTACTGAGCTCACACACCAATTCAAAAGCACTATTAATTCTTTTATCAGCCTCAGTGGCCATAAAACTGTCAGTGGGCACTGCAGAGCTGTGAGCAGCCTTGGCGTCTACAGCCTGGGCAGAACCTCTCACAGAATCAGTCTCAATGATTACAGGAGGGGCTGCTTCACAAGGCATGTTTCTATCACTGCTCTCGCCCCTCCTCGGCTCAGCAGCCGAATTATTCACAGCCGCCAGCTGATGGTGGGGCCAAGCAACTTGTTTATGATCCACATCTTCACATTCAAAACACTTCATGCTGCCTGAGCTAGCATACACCATATAAGACCCATCTATGTGCTTTACCCAAAAGGAAAACTCAAACCTTAACATCTGTCTGCACAATGATTGAACATGTTTCAGCTTAGCATCCCTACACCTCAGACTCATTGCCCAGAATCCACTCGCCATACTCCCAAAGCGCCTCAGCTCCTGCTCCAGAGCCTCATTAGGAACAAACAAAGGGACCTCGGACACAGTGATCTGGGTGGAAGGCAATGCCAGAGGCAAAACCGTCAAAAACCCATTAAGTGTAACTCCATTCTGTATAAGTTCAGTCACAAACGCTTATAGCTTCATAAAAAAACAACCCCACACTTATTTATTCAGGAGATACAGGCGATGTTAATGTGCCCAACCTGCTCTCCGATGGACAGCAGCACCTGCTCCACTGTGGTGTTGGGCTGCAGTACCACCCTCATGACCCAGTGACAGGGATGACATCTCCGAGGACGCCATCCCTGCTACCACACGGTCCGCCGAGTGGACGTCAATCTCAAAGACACACAAACGAGATAAATGCATAAACAAACATACAAAAACTACTTCTCTGTAGGAGAAACAGTAGAAATAAGTTTGAAAGGCACTCTCACCACACGCCACCACCGACTCCCAGCATGCAGTGCGAAGGAAAGAAAGCCCATCGTCAATCAATAAGCTGTGTAAAGAGTGTGTAGTGTTGTCAATAATGCGGAGAAGCTTGTACAGCATTTCTCTTTAGGCAACACAGCGATGCCAAGGTCAAGTGACCCCATACAAAGTTCAAATTCATTTGTAAGACTGATTTTTGTTTGGTTTAAACAAGCAAGATCCAAAATGTTGAACCAACAACTTTTAAAAAGTTTCAGATTAACAGTGAGAAAGACAGCAAGTGGAAGTTCCGAAAATTTCTTTACATAAATGATGTATTTGAGAAAGTACAGAAAGAGGTTTTTACTATAATAAAGATACATGCAAGGGTGTTATCTGGGTGCTCTGTCCTTTTTCTTCTCAAACCAAAAACATGCATGTTGGGTTAATGGAGAACACTAGATGTGATTGGTTGTCCATTTTGTTCGTCTTTTTGTGGCTCTGATGGACTTGTGACTTGTCCTGCATCTTGCACATTGACCGCTGAGGCACAAGCTTCCCTGTGAAGCTGCATACAAATCAGGTAAAAAGATAAATGGACTAAACTACAGCCCCACTGCTTTTTTCAGAGCTTCAGGATGAGCCCATGAATGCATTTTTTAATTAACTTGTGAGCAAGCTATTATGTTTTTCATTTATCTAAACCATGATTTCTCAATATTTTTTGTGTGTTGGTATTTAATGTTTTTGTCCTTTAAGGATTTTTACCTGGAACATGGAGACCTTGGCAATGTGCACGGGCTCTCTCCATCCAACCCCCACAGTTGACAAAAGACTGCTCGTTGGTCAAATCAAACACCAGGCACAACAAGGATGGCTCACCCCACTGTAGAAGAGATGTTGATGGGAGGCAGTGAGTTTTTGAAAAGGGAAGAAAATGGGAAATATGTCTCTCTGGTATTAAATTAGCTTTGTTTCAACTATTGTTTCACAAAAACAATTAGAAATCTCTTGTATTTTTACATCAGGAGCTGTGTAACTTTGATGGAAAGTTTTTTTTTTTACTAGTTTCATGTAAATGAAAATAAAATTCAAAAGCAAAATCTAACCATTTTCTCACAGCCATACACTAATGTCTCCTTGCCTGGAGTGTCTACGATGTAGACTTCCTAAAGAAAAACACAAAAAGCAAGACAAGAGTTTTAACAATAGAGATTCAGTCAAACTACCCAATTTAAATTCCCTTTCCTCTCCAGCAAGAGCATTAATCTTCTCCAACAATTCTGCTATATACAAACAAGAAACTAACAGTTGTGTGCATGCCTGTGAAAACCTTTCACGGTGAGTGATAGTTTCTAATTCTCAGCATTCAGCCCCAGTGATATAGAGATTTAAATTAAAGCTTTAAGTGCAAGTAGATATTCATCAGACAGACCTACAGGTTTTAAATTAAAAGTGTTTTATAGTCTGTAAATTCTTTGTAATTTTACACATTTATAACGCAACATATCAGGCATTTTTAGTTCGAAAAGTACACAGTTAATCCAAACAATCCACAGGGATTTGCCTGGTTAAATAAAGGTTAATAAATTGAAAAGCAGTAATTTCTGCACTAATAAAATGGTAACACTTATAAGGTACACAAAATTTGCTTAACTACTAGGGAACACCTAAGGAACAAATCAGGAGTTAATGGGTAGTTAACCAATACTTTCTGGGGAACACACAACCAAGTCTTATTAATAGACTACTGGTTAGTTACCTTGTAAATGAAGAGGAACTAATGAAGAACTAATGGGCAGTTACCAAGGAAACCAAAGAGGAACGAATCAGGAGCTAATGGGTAGTTAACCAGAATTTACTGGGGAACACAGAGCCAAGCTTTATTGGGGGATGACTGGTTTGTTACCACAGAAACAGTGGAGAAATTTCCCATGTGGGTTCTGAATAAACCCTGCACCAGTGAGGTCATGGTTCATAACTGTCAAAAACTTGTTTCCTAGTGATTACTGATTTTATTACCCATTAGCTCCTGATTCATTCGTCTTTAGTTTCCTTGGTAACTACCCATTAGTTATTGATTAGTTCCTCTTCATTTACAAGGTAACTAACAAGTAGTCCCTTAATAAGACTTGGCTGTGTGTTCCCCAGTAAGTATTGGTTAACTACTCATTAGCTCCTGATTTGTTTCTCTTTGGTTTCCATGTTAACTACCCATTAGTTCCTGATTAGTTCCTCTTCATTTCACAGGTAACTAACCAGTAGTTCTCTAATAAGGCTGGGCTGTGTGTTCCCCAGTAAGTACTGGTTAGCTACCTATTAACTCCTGATTTGTTCCTGATTCGTTCCTGGAGTGTTCTCTAGTATCAAATTTTGTGTACCTTATTGTAAAGTGTTACCATTAAAACTTTTTATTTTCCTTTCTGTTGGTTTGCAGGGTTGCAGTAGCTTAGTGGTCATTGCCACGTCTTATAATCCTGAGGCTGCGAGTTTGAGCCCAGGTTGTGTCAGGAAGGTGTGGAAGAGGATTAGTGTCATGGAAAATATATCTTTTAAATCTGTTTTCTGATATATCTGTTTCTTAAAACAGTTTGACATAAATATTATACATATATCATGTAATAGTTTTAGTATGACTGTGCAGAATACAAGACAGTAGTTTAAAGAGTTCAGAAGTTATGTTATTCTATTATTTTTGCTGTTCTGGGGATAGGTGCTGTGGCACAGATCAGTAAACATGTTTTTCCCGATCATGTTGTGAGATTGTACTGTGATTTTCTAGTGAGGATGTTTTGTTAGGTTGTAATTAAGGATATTGGGTCTGAATTGGTCAGTGGATCTGAGGGAACTGGTCATGTCCAGGGTTTTCTATAAAGATAGATAGAAAACCTCTGTTAGGTTAGATCACTCGGGATGCAGGCTCAGAGCATCTGACTCTTGACTGCTCTCTCTTGCTCTCAAGATGTTTTTTAACTAATAAATTCCCTGAAGTCTTTAACCAATTGATGAGGGAATTATTTTTCCCACAACATTTACGACCTTGATGTTTTAAAAAAAGTTGGTTTTCTCTTAAATTCTGAGGGTTTTTTTTTCCCCTCAGAATCCTTAGATTAAAGCCAGAATTCTGACTTCAATCTCAGAATTAAGAAAATTCAGAAAAATCTGAATTTTGACTTTTGTCTTAGAATTCTCAGAAGAAAGTCACAATTCTGAGATTAAAGCCAGAAAAAGAAATTGCACCATAGCCTTAATCATTTTATCTGGTATAAAATTGCCAAATCTTTCAAGCGAGTTTGGTTGCTATGGCGACACTTGTGGCTCATCAGCTCGACATGCAAGAGGAGCAGAAAGGTTGCAGAGGGCATTCAGCAGACGCTGGAGCATTACCTCCCAACGGTAGTTCTGTTCAAGCCAGTTATTTGTGAATGAAACTAAATAATAACAAGCTGTTATTCTCTTTGTGTTTCCAGAGCCTAAACCATGATGTACTCCTGTCCCACAGATATCGCTTTGTGGATCTCGAGCTCTCCTGTGCCTCCTCAGCTTCCTCCATGCCTTCCTACCACTTTCCTGTCAATCCCCTGGAACCTTATTCCGACGCACACCATCTTCACCACGGAACCATTGGGTCAGCTCTCCCCATAACTGACTTCTATACTCACCGTAAGGAAAGAACAGCAATTACATTATCACCCCCTGCTGACAGACAGTTAACTATCTCCTTGCTCTCCAGGGTTCCAGTTCCCCTCCTGGCACTTTTGACTATTGTCCACTTTGTAAATAAACATTGTAAACTGATTTCGAGTCTTGGTATCTGTTCACTTCAGTCCTTGTATCTGGGTACAGCCACAATCGTTACATATACAATGTAAGAAATTCCCCTTATGTTGCCTTTAACTTACCCTCAACTCTTTGGTGGCCATTCACACCACTTGTCCACCAAAGCACTTCTTGTGCTAGTTCAAAAGCATCCCCTTTTTAAATAATAAAAAATAGAGAAATATATATATTTTATGATTTTTTACTTGTGCAACTCTAAAATAACCTACTACGCAAAATTGTGTTCTGTAAACTCAAGTTTGATTAATATACTTCAGCCTGGGTATTAAGTACTGTAGATACAACAGCGTATGCACATAAGCTCATTAACAGTGTCAATTTTTGAGTTGATTAAAGTTAAATCATATTACCGTACTCATTGGCGTTTTTGAACACTTTAATATATAATATAATATAATATAATATGGATTTACTTAGTCTCAAACATGTTCTAAATACTGATAAAACCAAAGGGATGCTTTTTTCAAATGGGAAGTCAGTTCCAGCAGTTCTTCCTCAAACTTTATCCTCAAATGGTGTCCCTAATGAGTTTGTCGATTGCTATAAATCCTATATCTTGGTATCTTGGTCGACTCGCATCTCTCTTTTAAGCTTCACTTGGAAAACCTAATAAGGAAACTGAAAGTTAAACTGGTTTTCTTTTTCAGAAATACTGTAGATCCTGTCGAACCCTGAAAGCTAGGAAATGCCTTGTAACTGTGACTTTCCTTCCCTCCATTGATTACGGTGACTTTATTTACAAGATCGCTCCTACAAGTACCCTGCAGATGCTGGATGCTGTCTATCACGGTGCACAAAGATTCATAACTGGCTGTAACTACCGTACCCACCATTACACCCTGTATTCACTGGTTAACTGGTCATTAACTTCACAGACTCTCTCACTGGTACATTTTCATCTTTAAATCACTTCTTGGTCTGCTGCCTTCATACATCTCCTCCTACATGTCTCTGCGTGAGTGCAGCTACAGCGTGCGCTCTCAGGACATTATTACATGCAGTGTTCCCTCAATGAGGCCTGAACTTGGCCAAAGGGCCTTCTCCTACTCCGCTCCTGTTTCCTGGAATATCTTGCAAAAAGATCTGAAGCTCTGTAAATAAGTCCCCGAGGCTCAATGGGATTAACCTGTATAAATAAAGATCGAATGAAAAAAATATGCCACGAAAAGCAGCAGTCACAGTGATTATTTTGAACTGAATATTCAAACTGCCCTTGACAACAGGTTTTAAACATTGTTGAGTGTTTTATTATCACCAAGAAGGGTCTAAATTTTGGCTAGTTTAAGTACATTCCTAGAAAAATACATTTGAATATTCAATGAATACTCTGGTCACATGTATTTATACAAAAATGCAGCAAAATCTAAAGAAGTAACAGACTTTGAATAGCTTACCACTGTGTCACTGGTCTCTGGGATGTTCACAGACTTCATCATCAGCTCCACTCCTGTTGTCTGAGGAGCAAAAATTAGAAAGACGTAAATTAGAAAGCAATTTTGTAATGAAATGCTAAACAGTATAAAGTGTTTTGCCTTGATGTCACGTTATGAGTTCGTCTGTCTAAACACATTTAATTGGTTCAACTTTCTTTTGTGAGGATACTAAAAGAAGAGACGAGAGGAGAACAGCAGAGTCTGTGAGTTTCTGCAGTCAGTATCGCAGCACACTGTCTGTTGTGATTTATGGTTAATGTAAAAACTAAAACATAACTAATTTGCAGCTTGGCTTGCCTTGAATGCAGATTCCCAGCCGTGATGTTCAAATTCCTTTTAGACCTTTTATGTGGCCTCTCCATTACTTTAATCTTATTGTCGCAATAAGGATAAATGCACAGGGAGAAGACAACCAGCTCTGTGTTTAATAGCACTGCAGTGGAAGGACAAGGTGAAACTCCTCATCCTCATTTAATGAAAAACCTAAGAGTGAAGGGTTACGTAAATCTAAATGTGACAGTTGCTTCAAGCTGATACAGTAGTTTGGTTCTTGACAGTCTGGTAGATTTGTCACATGTGGCACTGCCCACAAACTGTATTCACTTCTGTCATTTTTACCATCAAAAAGTGTAGATACAATACAGCATCACTGTGTTAAGATTTGACTTAATGAAAAAAGCAATAATTACACAGAGAAGTAACTCATTCTGTTTAGAACATAGATATATTTCAGAAGCATAATATTTTAAAAAGGCAACCAGTCAAGAAAATCATTAACCTGATAAATGCATTGGGTTAACAGTTAAATTAATCATTTATATCTGAAAACAGATACTGAAATGACACATTTCTTGTATATTCAATTCAAGGTCAAGGTTTTCTTTATTGTCATTCGCATCTCATGTGGTACATGTGGTGGAACAAAACTGTGTACAATTCAGTTATTTATATAGCGCCAAGTCACAAGAGAAGTCATCTCAGGGCACTAAACAAAAACATTCACATACTTTATAAATGCCAATTAGTAAAGTTATCTATCTAAAGGAAGCCGGTAGATTGCGTTGAGTCTTCATTTCATTGCAGTCTCCCATCCTGAGCTAGCACAAAGACACCAGTGGAAAGGAAAAACTCCCTGAAACAGGAAGAAACCTCCAGCAGAACCAGACTCAGGACAAGATACAATCTTTTCTCAAGTTTAAAGAAACAGAACCAAGCTGAAGACAGAAACAGTAACTTTTATTGTAAATTAGTGTAATAGAAAATAATATATTAAAAGTAGTGTTCCAGTGTCATCAGTCATTTAGATCAAATTATATATATATACAGTGTGCAAGTAACCCTGAAATCTAAAAAAAAAAACTACTAAAAATTATTCACAAATTGCAGAAATTTATTTTTTATTTTTTTGTAGACAGACAGACAGACAGACAGGCAAGCAGGCAGACTGGACCGTTGCTCAGTGGTCAAATGTCCTCTTTTCAGATTAAAGTAAATTTTGCATGTGATTTAAAAATCGAGGTCCCAGAGTCTGGAGGAAGAGTGGAGAGGCCCAGAATCCACGTTGCTTGAAGTCCAGTATGAAGTTTCCACAGTCAGTGAGGATTTGGGGTACCGTCCTCTGCAGGTGCTGGTCCACTGTGTTTTCTGAAGTCCACGATCAATGTGGCATCTTCCAGGAGATTTTAGAGCTCTCTTCATGCTTCCATTTGCTGACGAGCTTTTTGAAGATGCTTTATTCCATTTTCCAGCAGGACTCGGCTCCTGCCCACACTGACAAAGATACAGCTGGCTAAGGAATATTCTAATTTTCTGAGACACTGAGTTTTGGTTTTTCATTATTTGTAAGCCTTAATAATCAAAATTACAAAAAAATAAAGGCTTGAAATATTTCACTCTGTGTAATGAATCTATGGAATAGATTTCACATTATGAAATGACTGACAAAAGAAAGTGAACTTTTTCATGATGTTCCAATTTTTTTATATGTACCTGTAGAGTAACAATAGGAGGGTTTTTTGTTTTTTTTCTGCTTTTGTGACCCAGCGCAGAGTGATGGATCGTAATGAGTGGAGGGAGCAAATTTATCCACCAGGTGCAATGGCGGAGCTAAGGGGTGGCCAGTGGTGGTCTTGGCCACCATAAATTAATCTTCGGCCACCCCAGTCATTTGAGTAAACTATACTTTTAAGCAATATAAAATCTAGAAAGCATAGCGTTCCTCAAATAATAGTGGTAGTCCATTAACATATACCTGGTATATGTATGGTGGTGGCCATCTTGGATTTTGACGTGGCAACCCCATTTTTGATGATGAACTATCTTGTGCCTAGATGCAGCCAAACTCCAAAATGGAAGACGGTATCTCACTTATTTTTCAAGCTGTCATGCTCACAACATGCATGGATGGACGGAAGGTATTTTCAATTGCCCTTCTTTGCTCCATGATAGGGGGAAAAAATAAATACAAAAATTAAGCAAGATGCAGCAGAAACAGACAAAAAAGCAGGTAAAAAGGGAACCGATGATTAAAGAAAGTATGGAGAAAAAAAACAGGCAGTAGACTTCTAGCTAAATATGGATTTATCTTTGCTCTTGTTACAGATGCATCATAGTATACAGGAGAAGTAAAGAGGCCGAGTAGAGATAGTTACACTTCGTTTCTCTCTGTGAAGTCATTGATTTGAGATAAGTTGTGACCTTGGGGAGGTAAGTTTGTTGTTTTCATATCAGCATCTAGCTCTAAATTGGTCTGAACTCGAAACCTCATAGTTAACTAAGTGTATCAAATGTTAGAGACTGAAATTGTACAAACATACACACACACACTTTTTATACTCAGTGCTTCTGGGAAACATACACAAACTTCAGATCAGCATTTAGCTCATTTATACACAGTCACAGTTCATAACAAGCATTTGGTGATACGCTCACCCACACACACACACACACACACACACACACACACACACACACAC